ACTGCTCATTCGATTCCTTAACCTATTGTTGCTCGATTCTCGACTGATTTCAACAATTTTAACCTCAATATTTATAACGTCACATGAATCTTATATTATTGTATAGTGACCATTTCACTTCGTGCCTCATGTTCCAAATATGTTAAATACTAATTTATGGTTTAGGGTAACCATGATTAACCAAATTGAAAGCGAGAAACTTTACCGATAATGATACTGAAACTTTCAAGATCACAATCGTTTAACACATTAGTATCCTACATATAGATTAACCTAAATTTCTACGAAAGCTCAATGTAAGATCAATCGCCTAGGTCGGGGAGTCGAAGACTAATACCATATAAAGATCTTAAAACCTCAATAATCGAACCCACACTTTTAAGAGAAAGCAATTAGGAAAATTGCTGCAAATGATATTGTAAATAGCATGAAATGCATAAATCATAGTAGCCAAATGTGTAATGTGATGTTTGGGGTTTTACATTGTGATATTCTAATATCACATATAAGGTTTCCTCTCTCGAGGGCCAAAACTTAAACAATCAAATCAATCAATTAATGGCTAGTTAATTGAAAGCATTAACTCCAAATAACACAAATAAACTTGATGAAAAACCTCAAAGAATTAATTATAAAGAACCAAAAGATAATGTCAAGTTTAGATTACATCAAACAATTTAGTTCGTGATTGTAGAATAAGAAAATCTTGAATGCATAATCAAGTACATAAAGAAGGAAAGAGAGAAAAACTGTTTTGGAGCTTTGATAAAAAACTGGAGATTTGATCAATCTTCTTCTTGATGTTTCTCTCGCTCTCTTTCTTCATCTTTTGCTTTTATATCATCAAAGTGTAGTTGAAAAAGTCTCCTCAAAGGTTGTATTTACGCCTTCTTGAAATTATAGATTAGTTGAGGTTGAATTGGGCTTTCAAAAGTTCAATTAAACCTAACTTTCTCTGGCACACCTTATTGCAAAATGGCCAAGCGCTAAAAGTTAAAATTTGGGTAATACCTAGACGCCAGATCTCTGTCATTTTTCTACTCTTTATGGTTTAAATGGCACCTGGTCGCTACCTATGCTATTACTTTTTTTACAATTTTCTACTTTGATTCTTTTTTCATGCCATCTTTGCTTATTTTAAATTCTGTGCACTCTTCAAATCATATCATCATCACACTTTAATTCTTTAAAGCTCCACAAACTGTCTTTTATCACTATGTCACCTAACCTACAACAAAACATGAAAATGCACATCAAAATGTTCTAAAACTCTTAAGATCAATCTAAACATCAAGTTTAAGACCGTGTTTGGCCCCCATTATGTGGAAAAATTAATGGGTGGAATAGTGTTTTTTTTTTTTTAAATAAGTGGTTGAAAAGGAAAGAAAAATGTTTTCAATTTACGTATAATACTATATTATGAAAGATTGTGTGATTGAAAATAGGAGAGAGAGAAAAATGAAATGTAATAGAATGAAAATTAATGGAGACCAAACGGGGGCTAAATAGTATTATTATCGTAAGTGAAACACACTCATCCAATATCCCTAAAGTATTTTGTTAGTCCTCAAGCAAACACAAAAGTAACAAAAACGAAGGAAACACACGAGCAAAACTAAAACACATCGACTCACATTCGACAAATTTTAGTTAAATTGTTTGCTCTTTTGACTCAGGATTGAAAACATTGTATCAAATCTATGAATTGTTTCAAAATTACAATGTAAAAGTCAAATTCTCACTTATCAATTGCAAAATGAATGTGTGTGAAGAATCAAGTCAAACGTTGAACATTCACAAATTGGTTTATGATCAAATATATGATTTCTTCACTCACGAGTTTCAAACAAACTCCAAACTTATTTTCTTGTATTTTCTTCCCAGTTTATAATCTAAGGTTGACGTTCAATTTACTATTCTCTTTCACCGCTCAAATTTGGTTGAATCCAATCGATAACGTTAATGATCTATCCATGTGATCATTCTTTCAAACTTTGAGTGCTTCAACAATCAAACTCATACTAAACAATTCAAACCCACTAGTTACTAAGCCACCATAATTCATCCACAATTGCACATTTACTTTACCACAATTCATCTACAATTGCACATTTACTTTCTTATTTTGATATTCATAGTTCAAGATCAAGCTCACCCATTTAAACTTTCTTTTGTACCCCTGTAACAAGCTTTAAATCAATAACTCTCAATCAATAAAGGTCAAAGGGTATCTGATGAGTGATTTACACTCATTATATTATGCCATTAATTTCATGATTTTGCTATCTTGGAGAGTATTTTAGAAGTGCTAACAAGTGATTTTGGTGTTGTTTGTAGATTGATGGAAGTGGAGAAAACAAGAGCTAAAAGAGGCCAAAGGAAGGAAATAGGCAAAAGTTAACGAAATTGGATGAAATGACCAAAATGGCGAGGATTAAAATGCAATTAATCAAAAGTCTTGTCGAAACTCACGATGAAGATCCGAGAGCACTAAGAGTCAATTGGATGAAGGAAGGTGTCAAAGGGATCAAATTTAGTCAAAATTTGATCACGAATCATTTTCCAACCGAAAAGTTACGCGCTGGAGTTTTGTTCTCACATTGGGACCTATTTCTGACATAGTAAACATTTGAATTGGGAAATGATATTTGAAGAAGAGTTATAGCTTTGAGTTACCTTTCCAACGCATCTTGAATCATCTCAATCGGATATCGGATGAAAAAGTTATGACAAAAATACTGAAAGAGGCAAAAACTACCTTTTCCACACGAAGTGGGCGCCGTGGCGCCAATGAATCTGAATTTTATAGTAAGGGCAGCGTCGTGGCACCGCCTATGCGGGTAAATGTATTTTGATATTTTTGGATTTCTTTCTCGACCCATTCCAACCCAAAATCGTCCAACACTTGAGGAAACTATAAATGCTACCTAAAAGACCTAATTAAAGGGGAGAAACGAGCAAGAAAAATTGAAGTAGCCGACAAGAACACGTGATTGGAAAGAGGAGTTTAGCCGGCCAATTGCAAAATCTGGAGACAGATCCATGGCTGGTCAATACAATTAAAGAAGAGGAAGTTGATTGAGAGAATTTGGCAACAATGGAAGAAGAAATCGAGCGACAAAAACGAGTTTTTCTATTCTTTTTCTTCTCTATGTTTTTTCTTTAATTTATTCCTGTCAATTTTCTCAATTATGAACTAAACAATTATTCTAGGGATGATGTAGCCTACTTGAGACATATTTGGATTCCGTTATAATTATTTCAATTGATATTTTCTTCTTATTTATTTATGTTGTTTGTGCGCAATGCTTTCAATTAACTGGCCACTAATTGACTGATTTGATGTTCTAAATTTTGGCGCTCGAGAGAGGCAAATTTAGGTGTGATCTAAGACAACATAACCTAGATTTCGTAGGTTTCGAGAGAAAGTGCAAATCTTTGAGGCTTGTTTTAATTAAGAACCACGTGCTTGATAATTTTGATATTTTTAATTCAGAATAGAGATATTGGAATTAATATATAAAAATAGATTTTATTTGACGCTCAAGAGAGGGAAATAGAATCACTTTAGCGTTCTTGCCTATAAATTTTGGAAAGATTGATAGAAATAATTATACGGTTGAAAAATATTGTCGAAAGTACGGTGAAATCATTCCCTAGGCATTCATAATTTGATAAGAAACTTTATAATTTGCCCTCGTTTACTTGCATCGTTCATTCTATTTAATTTTAATTTAGCATAAAAATATTGACTCAAAATTTGATTGTCTAAATAAAGGGAAAGCTTAAATAATTATAGTACTTAATTGATTCGAATATCAATCCTTGTGGGTTCGACATCCTAACTTCTTTACTATATTACAAAACTTGACATCGTACACTTGCGGTTTAAAAATCACGTTGCATAAATCGCATGGTAAGTTTTTGGCGCCGTTGCTGGGGATTGATTTATTTGAATTCAATTGATATTATTACCAATTTGCTTTCATTTTACTATAGATTTTTATTTCTATCGTAATTTTTATTTTTATTTTATTCTTTTTGTGTCGATCTTTAAGAGCTCCCTTGTGGTTATTTTTCAGTTGTTTATGTGAAGGGTGAGAAATCTAGACCTACTAACTGTTGATCCTGAACCAAAACGCACATTTCGCATTCTCAGAGGCATAAAAAGAAACGAACGAGAGGCAATGGAAGAACAGGATGCTAGAGCAGTCAATGAGGATAACCAACAAAGGGCTATTCGAGACTAGATAAGGCCGGTTGTCAAAGACAACTATTCTGGCATCGCACGTCCAGCAATTGCTGCAAACAATTTCGAACTGAAGCCAGGACTTATACACATGGTGCAGCAAAATCAGTTTGAGGGAGCTCCAATAGAAGACCCAAATACTCATTTGGGGTCCTTTCTGGAGATCTGTAATACAGTGAAAATGAATGGCATTACTGAAGATGCAATCCGACTTCACCTATTTTCCTTTTCCGTAAGAGACAAAGCCAAGGCATGGTTCCAATCATTGCCGTATGGATCCATCACAACTTGGGAAGGGTTAGAGCGGAAGTTTCTTACAAAATTCTTTCCGCCTTCGAAGGTAGTGCAATTACGGAGTGAAATTGGACAGTTTCGACAATTAGACTTTGAACCATTCTATGAGGCATGTGAGAGATATAAAGATCTATTCAAAAGATGTCCTCAGCATGGTTACCCGGATTGGTTGCAGATACAAACCTTCTACAACGGTTTAAATGGTCAGACACGGATAGTGGTAGATTCTGCAGCAGGGGGTGCACTATTATCCAAAACTCCAAATGAGGCTTATGCATTATTGGATGAGATAGCTACTAATAGCTATCAATGGCCGAGTGAGAGTTCAAGTGCAAAGAAAGTTGCTAGCCTTTGTGAAGTAGATCCTATAACCGCCCTTGCAGCTCAAATGTCATCTCTCACTAATCAAATAGCTGCATTGACTTCACATGGATCACAAAAGAAATCATAATCTACTATGGCTACATCCACTGTATACCAAAAAGTTGAAAGGGAGAATGAACAACTTCAGTATGTGAATGATCGAAATTTCAATCAAAAGGGAAACTATTCAGGAAACAACTACTATCAGGGGTTCAATAATGAAGCGTTTGAGCGAAAGCCATCACTGGAAGATATTTTAGGAACCTTCATTTCGGAGACCAGATCAAGGTTCAACAAAGATGAGGCAAGACTTGACAACATTGAGATACATATGACCAATTTGGGGGCTACAGTGAAGAATTTGGAGGTACAGATTGGTCAGATAGCAACTGCAATACAGTCTCAACAAAAAGGACAATTTCCCAGTGACATAGAGGTTAACCCACGGGAACACTGCAATGCTATCACCCTAAGAAGTGGTAAAGCAGTTGAAGAACGCAAGCTTAGAGAGGCTGGGGTACCTACATCGGATCCCATTCTTACAAGGGAAAAGCAAACTGAAGGGCAGAAAACTGAGACAGAGGCAACAAAGAAGATTTATAAGCCTTACTCAATTTCATTTCCGGACAACCCACCTATCTTGAAGCCCCCACTACCATTCCCGCAGAGGTATTTGAAGAAGGAGTTTGATGAAAAATTCGCAAAGTTTTTGGAGGTCTTCAAGAAAATCCACATCAACATTTCCTTTGCAGAAACCTTGGCCCAAATGCCTAACTATGCCAAGTTCTTAAAGGAAGTGATGTCAAAGAGGAGAAAGTTGGAGGAATTTGAGACGGTTAAGCTGACAGAGGAGTGTAGTGCCATACTTTAGAAGAAGCTCCCTCACAAATTGAAAGATCCAGGCAGTTTCAACATCCCGTGCAATATTGGTGGTATCACATTTGATAGGGCACTATTGACCTTGGAGCTAGCATAAACTTGATGCCCTTATCAACATTCAAAAAGTTGGGTTTTGGAAAAGTAAATCCCACAACCCTTACCTTGCAACTGGCGGACAGATCGATCACATATCCCAAAGGCATTATTGAAGATGTATTGGTGAATGTTGATAAGTTTATCTTTCCGATGGACTTTGTGGTATTGGACATGGAGGAGGATGAAGAAGTACCATTGATTCTTGGCCGACCTTTCCTGGCTATTGGAAGAGCATTGATTGATGTGCAAGAAGGAAAGTTGACACTACGAGTTAATGAAGAGCAACTAACTTTCAACATCCATCAAGAAAAGAAAGCCCTAGAAAAAGGAAAAGTAGATATTGGCAAAATGATCTAATCAGTTGAAGTAATTGCAGGAAATGGAGAAAAAAGGGAATTATTTTATGATCCGTTGACGCAATACATGGAAATTAGTTACTCAACAAGGGATGCATCTACTGATGGTAATGACTCAGAAATGAAGAAAGCAATGGATTTCATCTTAGCTCAAGAAGCTGACCCACCTGACAAAAAAAAGAGCTATGTAGATAGGCGTTTGAAGCCTCCAAACATTGCCAAACCAAAAGAGGTCTTGAAAGCCATACCAGGGTCAAAACAGCCTAAGTTTGTTCACCATCTTACAATGAAGGAGAATACAAAGTCGAAGATAAAGTTCAGAAACAAGAGAAATGTGCCACCTGAGGATCCACCGTAGGCGTTTCGGTTGAGTCAAGCTAGTAACTATAAAGAAGCGCTTCTTGGGAGGCAACCCAAGCGTTCTTACCTTTTCACTTATTTTATTTTATTTTATTTGTTTTGAATTATAGGAGAGTTTATTTCATTTCAAAAATTTATTTTATTTAGGAATTCATCAGCCCTACCCTGTCTCCCTTAGGTCTTTGAGCAGTCTAGTTGGTTATTAGATGTTCGAGTTAAGTAACACTTGTTCCATGAATTTAATACCTACATTTTGAATTTTCAGAAACTTGACATCGTGGAACAATCAAATCAATTGACGAAGAGTAATTGGATAAATATCAAGTTTGGGGTAGAAACTAGAAGAAGTATCAATCACGTCCAGCATCATAGCACCAGACCATCATTGGCAATTCAGACAATTCAAGGAAGTTTTCCTCCTTTTCTTTTAATTTTACATTGGGGACAATGTTTAGTTTAAGTTTGGGTGTGTATCATAGATTTTCTAATTGCCTACATATTTTTTATTTTGTGTATTTTGTGTGATTTTTGCGCAATTTTTTTTATTTTCTTATTAGGGTGCATTGTTAAAAAAAAAAAAATTATTTTGTGTTTTGCATGCTTGTGTGAATTAGATAGCCTTGCCGATATTGATTTGTGTAATTGAGAACATGCGTTGATTTATGGGTTATGGATAAGTTATGTGCTTAAGTTAAATTTTTGCTTATTTATGTAAAACGAAAATTATTTTTGCACGTGAGTTGATTGTGGCGTTGTGCATGAGTAGGTTGATTCATGTTTATAGGTTGGATCAGAGAACTTAGATGCTAAACCCAAACAACCTTTGAACATCATATTACCTTTAAACCAAATATATGATGTTTGGTAGATTAAGCTGTTGTAGGGAAACTTGGAAATAAATGTGGATTCCATGTGTGCTAAATTTTGTGTGGATTGTCTGAGACTAATGAGATGAAAATTGGGTGACAACCTTAAGTTAGAGGTCGATTTTCGAGAATTGGTGTTTAATAAGGGACATTGCACTAATCACCGCATAAAAAAATCCCAATGAGGACAACTTTAATAATCTCATTGTGATTCGTCTCTTCGTAGCCTTTATGACTGGAGTGATTAAGCCTATAAGGGTTTAAAACCTGGTGCCCTAAATTCATCTGATTTGGGAGTCATTGGCCTAAAACTCGTTACAGGGGTCATTTAGAAAGTTTAAGGGAGAGACGTCCGCACAAAAAGTGATTAAAGAATAAAAATAAATATGAAAAAAATTAAAAAAAAAAAGGAGAAAAAAAATAGATGTCAAATGCCTTGATTAAGCCCCGAACACTTGTTGATGCGAACCCCGTAGCAACGTTAACTACGAAACCTACAACGAGATTAACGAACTCAAGAAAGCCAAATTAATCCAAAGTTTAGGATTAACCCAAAAGAAAGTCGAATCAAAAAATCCAACAAGAACGACGCTTGAAAGACCCCTTGATCACGCAATCCAAGAATTAAATCCGGTTGTTTGAACGCTGCAAGTTAACACTTGATAAGTTCGAAATTGTTCAATGAAGAACGATGAAGAGAAGATAATACGCCTCACTTTAATTTAATATCAATAATGTCAAAGGTTTTTTTTAACAATTGAATGGAAACTTGTATTTATACTAAACCTAAAACCTAGGTAAAATCGTGCAAAAGTCGAGCATAATCTCCAAAATAAGGAAAAGAATCAAAATCTAACAAAATATGGAAAATTGCCAAAATTGAAAAATTCGCCAAATTTTTGGCTTGTGCGGCCGCATGGTATATTTCCATGCGGTCGCATGGTTCAACAAAAATCCCAATTTAAGTTTCGGTATGCCACTGTGCGGCCGCATGGTGTTTTTACTGTGCGGTCGGACAGGCTTATTTTCAACCTTCGCTTTCGTCGCTTGATAACAAATTGATCCAAGTTGATTCGGCCTTCGACCCGAAAATGAAAGTTGCTCTATTTTGAGTCCTAAACATAGTTCCATCAATGGTCTCTTGAACGAGCAATCCCATCGCTTGTTTACTTGATTTGCCCTTGGTCGCATCATTAGTCCGCCATCGACTATCAACGGGTCTCGTCTCGCACTTGCCTTCGTCGAGCTCGACTCCTGGATCATATCATCCCCTCCCTCTTCAAAAGGATTCATCCTTGAATCTGAACCTGCATCAAACAGAGAGAGATCAGATACATTAAAAGTAGTCGAAACATTGTGTTCACCTGTAAGGTCCAACTTGTAAGCATTGTCGTTTATCTTTTCAATCACTTGAAATGGACCATTGCCCCTCGATTGCAACTTGGACTTCCTTTGCTCCGGAAACCGCTCTTTCCTAAGGTGCACCCAAATCCAATCTCCTGGCTCGAATGTCACGCGCTTTCTACCTTTGTTCACCTACGATGCAACCAACTTACTTTTATTTTCAATTTGCGCTTTTACCTTTTCATGGAGTGACTTAACCAATTCTGCCTTCTTTTTGCCATCTAAACTACCATGTTCATTCACAGGTAAAGGAATTAAATCCAAAGGAATTAGTGGATTAAAACCATATACAATTTCAAATGGAGAATATGACGTAGTAGCGTGAACAGCTCAATTGTATGCAAATTCAACAAATGGTAGACACTTTTCCCAACTCTTCAAATTTTTATTGATTACTGTGCGTAACAATTGTGTCATAGTCCTATTCACTACCTCGGTCTGCCAATCTATTTGTGGGTGACAAGTTGTGGAAAATAGTAACTTAATGCCTAACTTACCCCACAAAACTCTCCAAAAGTGACTCAAAAATTTGACATCTTGATCCGATACTATGCTTCTAGGAACCCCATGTAAACGCACAATCTCTTTAAAGAATAAGTCAACAATGTTCGTGGCATCGTCAGTTTTGTGACATGGTATAAAATGTGCCATTTTGCTGAACCTGTCTACAACCCCAAAAATAGAATCTCGACCTCTCTTAGTCCTAGGTAAACCCAAAACAAAGTCCATCGAGATATCAACCCAAAGCTCACTAGGTGTAGGTAAAGGTGTGTACAAACCTTGTGGTAAAACCTTAGATTTAGCCTTTTTACAACCTATGCATCGACTACAAATTCGCTCAACATCACTTTTCATCTTACGCCAATAAAAATGCTCCTTCAATACGTCTAAAGTCTTTTGAATCCCAAAGAGTCTCATCAATCCACCACTATGTGCCTCCCTTACTAACAACTCCCGAATAGAACAATTAGGAACACATAACCTAGTTTCTCGAAATAAATACCCCTCACACCTAAAGAACCTATCAACCGCCCCTTTTATGCATGACAAATAAATATCCAAAAGTTCAACATCTTTTTCATACAATTCCTTAATATGTTCAAACCCAAGTAACTTAGAATCAAGAGTAGTTAGCAATATGTACCTTCACGACAACGCATCCGTCACCACATTTTCCTTACCTTGTTTATACCGAATGATGTATGGAAATGTCTCAATGAATTCCATCCACCGTGCATGCCTCCTGCTCAATTTACCTTGTCCCCGCAAGTGCTTTAGTGACTCATGATTGGTGTGTATTACGAACTCCTTCAGCCATAGATAATGTTGCCAAGTCTCCAAAGCTCAAACAAGTGCATAAAGTTCTTTCTCATATGTAGGATAATTTAAAATAGCTCCACTAAATTTCTCGCTAAAGTATGCAATAGGCCTCCGATCCTGCATTAAAACTGCTCCAATCCCTATTCCTGATGCATCACACTCAATCTTGAATGTTTTGTCAAAATTAGGTAATGCCAAAACAGGTGCTTCACACAATTTACCTTTAATAGTATTAAATGTAAGTTTCTATTCATCACCCCAATGAAAACCTACACTCTTTTTAACTACTTCTGTGAGTGGTACAATGATAGTGCTAAAATCATTCACAAATCGCCTATAAAAACTAGCCAAACCATGAAAACTCCTAACTTTCGTTATAGTTTTAGGTGTCGCCCAATCTCTAATAGCTTTTATCTTTTCATCATCTATTTCTACCCCATTAGCACTAATCACAAATCCAAGAAATATAATTCTATCCATACAAAATGTGCATTTCTTAAGATTAGCATAGAGTTGTTCTTTCCTTAAAACAATTAGCACACACTTTAAATGTTCCAAATGCTCTCCTAGGTTTTTGCTATAGATTAATATGTCGTCAAAATAAGCCACAACAAATTTTCCTATAAAAGCACGTAAAACATGATTCATTAAACGCATAAAAGTGCTAGGTGCATTTGTGAGTTCAAACGGCATAACCAACCATTCATATAAATCATATTTAGTTTTAAAAGCCGTTTTCCATTCATCACCCTCCCGCATACGTATTTGATGATACCCGCTTTTTAAATCAATTTTAGAAAATATGCAAGAACCATGTAATTCATCAAGCATGTTATCTAACCTGGGTATAGGGTGACGATACTTTACTGTTATGTTGTTGATAGCCCTACAATCCACGCATATTCACCATGTTCCATCCTTTTTTGGCACAAGTAAAATCGATACCGCACAAGGACTCATGCTTTCCCTCACGTATCATTTGCTCATTAACTCCTCCACTTGCCTTTGAAGCTCCTTAGTCTCCTCGGGATTACTTTGATAAGCCGGTCGA